TAATTGCGATTGATCGATTGACTTAATTATTTGCAAATTGTGTTGCAAATAGTTAATTTGCGCCAGCATTACGAATCTTCAGGGAAGATTGAGCGAGTGAAATTTGTAAAATAAGCATTTATAATCATCCCACGTGTTATAAGCGGCTATTTTCGCTAAACTCTTTATTTTAATTGAAGAGTATTTTAATTGAAGAGTATTTTAATTGAAATTCTCATTTTTTGTCTTGGCATTGTAGGTCTTTTGTCTTGGTATTGGGAGTTTGCGAGAGGCTATTTGATCGATCGATTTTTTAAAATTTATAATTCACCCGTGTCAAGTGTCGTGATACTGTTTTTAAAAATTCTAGGAGCTTCTTCGTGTAGCTGAGAGAACTATTTGATTTTCGAATTTGATTTTCGAATGCACTTCTTAGTTCCCACCAAATTTGCTTTTGTTTTTGTTTTTCACTCTATAATTACACATGGTCGTACTGTCGACGCGTCAAAATCGTTGAAATTTATTTCTATGCCGATAAAATAGAATTCCGCGAGGTAGGCGATTATACTTTATTCTTAGCTTTCTCTTCCGAAAGACTTGCTCGTCCCATGATCGCGCGGCGTTTTTTATTTAAAAATACAATATCCACCATTGAGCAAGCATAAGCTCCTACGTAAAGCCAAATCCCTTTATATTTGAGTTTCGAGTGGGTAAAGTCCAATGCCGGGCGCAAAATTAAACGAACGAATTAAATGTCGTTAGAGCAGCTCTTTTGGTAAAGCAATTATTCATGAAAAAGTGCCGAAAATTCGATGAAAATGGTAGAATGCAAGCTCCTCGGCAGGAGGATCCCCTTGGAGGAGCGCTCACCTGTAATCGCCGTTGTCGGGAGCGTAGCTGAGGCACGTGGCGCCATTGAGACAGATGCCGGGATGGTCGTCGCAGTAGGTCAGCCGCTGGTCACAGAGCTCACCGGTCCAGCCGGGCTTGCAACGGCACTCCCAAGGCTTCCTGCAGGTGCCGTGGACGCAGCCCGGGTACGGGACGCACTCGGTGCAGTTTGGCCCGGTGTAGCCGACGCGACATCTGCACGAATTTGGCCGGCGACAGCCCCCGTGCTCTCGGCTGCAGCCCGACGAGCAAATCGCTGAGCACCGAGACGATTATTATTGGCTTGAGGCCCTCGTGACTTGTTTTCTTTTTTATCAAGAGCGGCCCATTGATGGATAAGGGATTGTGGATAATGGGATGGGGAGTCGAGTAATGGGACGGTTGGAGGATTTGGTGGGGGGGGGGAGGTGCGGAGGGGATGGGAGGGAGGTATGCGCGGCCGGTTGGGTGGCTGACGTATCGATCCCGTTAGACGTATCGAGAGACCCTCTCGATCAACTTTAACTGTAATTGCGCGGGCGACGAAGCCTGGTAGCCTCGTCTCAAATTCCCGCAAATAATTAATTCAGAGGACATACATATCGAGTCCTTTATTCGTCGCCTGAAAATTTGATAAAAGTACGAGAGGGGTGCCGCGGAGATTCAACGACAAGTCGATTTTACCCGGTTTTCAACTTTAATCGCTCTTTCTGCGTAACACCGACGCGGACGTGCTTATTAAAATTATCGTTTTATTTTGAGCGCTAGAGAATTTTATTTCGAAAACAATGCACCGGCCTGAATGCGCGTGTCGCGGCGCAACGACCACCGGCGCTTTCATTGTTCTACTTCTCTTTCCGCCTATCGCTTTCCTAACATTGTATACCACAATCTTTTTAATTTGCAAGTAAATATGAGAGCCATAAATTATAGTAGCAGATTTTAAGAACTTATTAATTATTTATCGATAAGCTCGGATAAAAAGTACTTTCTAAGATAAAAACTTACTAATAACTAAGGCTATCTCGTAAATGAGGATTCTCCGAATAATAAATCGAGCTCTGCGCTTAGGAAAAAGTATTAGCTTTTGAAAATTTCAATTAGAGTCTTAAAATTTTTATATACTCGTACTACGTTTTTTGTTGGATTGTAGGATATATATATTTGAGAAAAGGTTGGGCAAATTTTATTTCAATCTAAATTGATTCTTAAACAAATCGACAAATCTCAATCTTAATGCAAACTTTCAGCGTGAAATTTCAAAATAATATAAATAAAGTATAAAAATTAGTTTTTATAACAAATTTCATCTCTCGTCATTTCGCTTCATTTTTACCATTAAATACAATTTCTCAATAGCAAATAATTAATTCTTCATATAAAAAAATTGCTCAATTATCAACTGTCGGTATCGTTTATATATATATATATATCATATTTATTAGCAAAACTATAAATTACGTGATTTTTTTTTTCTATTTGTTTTTTTTTTTTTTAAAATTTTACTTCCTTAAAATAATTTTTCATTTCTCTCTCTCTCTCTCTCTCTCTCTCTCTCTCTCTCTCTCTCCCTCTTTTAAATAATAATTAATTTTAATTTTTTAAAACTTAGTTAATAATTTATAAGGTTTGAATGGACTTATCAAAAAATCTTTTGTCTTGTATAATGTAACTCGATCCAATGCTCACACCTAAAGTTATTCTGAGAAACGTATATTCCTTGTGTTTTTATTAAGATGATAAAGTAGATATAGATTTAAAGGTGGCGAATGATGCAACGGTCAGACTTATCAGAATAAAAATCTGTCTGCGAATGACAAATGATTAAGCAAAAATTAAAAAATGAAAGCCTGAAAGTATTTTAACACATGAAAAAATATAGCAGAAGTATAAAGGGGTAGGTATATAAATAAATTGATAGACATACAGATAGTTAGATAGATAGATAGATAAATGGAGGGGTAGAGAGAGAGAGAGAGAGAGAGAGAGAGAGAGAGAGAGAGAGAGCGCGCGAGAGACAGATAGATAGTGAGAATGAAAAAATAATAGCTATCTCAAAAATGTCTGCGATAATTCATTTTTAAAAGTTATTCTTTTTTGGAATAAGCAATACCGATTCCACTTCAGAATAGACAAAAGCAATAAAAAAAATTAACTTCTCGGGGTCGCTAAATATCTTGTATATACCTATATTTATTATAAAATTTATAATTCAATAATCACCCTAAATGAAGCAACAAATTGAAAAAAGGGAATATTTTACACGATAAACGGAGGGGTGCAATTTACGAATAAATTAGACTACTTACGTGTCGAGCACAAAAATCCTGTCCAACCTGGGTCACAACGGCACTCGAGAGGACCGTGGCAAGTTCCATGCACGCATCCTGGAAGGACCGCACATTGCTTACACATTGGTCCCTGCCACCCAAGTCGACATCTGTATAAAAATACACGAAATGTATAAAGTCCTTCGACAGATACAAATTTCTTGAAGTTAATAATAAAACAATGCAAGTATCTAATTTTATAGGACGGTATTACAAAAGTTAATGAAACTGTTTAAATCACGGTTACGTATAATGTGTGATTAAAACAATTAAAAAAATTTTAAATAAAATTAAAAAAAAAAAAAAAAAAAAAAGATGCTGTGAACCATTAGATTAATTTAGTTTTTTAAATGATTTGTTTTTCATTATAAAGCAAAATTTGTAAAATATATTAAATTACCTTATAATAGCTTTAAAACCTATTGGGATTGTTTTGAAAAATCTGATTAGCGCTGTAATGACAAATGGAAGGAAAATGTCCCGCTATTTTTAAATTAACTTACATTCCTCATACTGACTTTTGAATTTTTCCATAAAATTGAGGGGAAATTTGTTTAACAATTCTATTATTAAATATAGAAAATTATTCAGATAGTATAGTATACCGATTGATCGATATTAAGAGTATAGACCATTTTTTTTTTTTTTTTTTTTCATTAATTCATTATATTTATGAAATTTTATCACATAAGTTAAATATTTTAATATCGAATTCCAGTGTGCGTTTTTTCTATTGTATTCGTATAACTTGAGTTTTAAAACCACGTAGACATGTAAGGCTGAACCACATAATTAATTTCGTGATTGCATATAAGTTTTTCAAAAGTCTACCTGCATTCGCCGGGTTTCTCGCAATACCCTTGACTCGGATTGCAATCCAAATGGCAGATCGGCTCGTTACAGAAGAGACCCTTCCATCCAAAATCACAGGCACACTCGAAGCTCACGTTACACCTGAAAAATCGTCGATACATTAACCATCCGACAAATTTTAACGTACACGTTGAGCCCATCCATTCTCGTGTGGTATTGTTGAGTTTATGGGGTTGTAGTGAAAGGCAATTGGGAAAATCAATTTTCAAAGTTCTGGTCACGATTGTGCGTTGCGCTGCTTTGAAAAGAATGACGAAACAGGATCCACCTCGGACATTGACAACCTGAGCCCCAGCAAAGCCGAGCGGATATCACGAAAGCGAGCGAGTGAAAGCGAATACGGCTGTCGCGAATACTAAAGGTGCCGCTATTTTTCTCTGCCCAAAGTTTTATTTGCTTTTTATTAGAATACGACAATCGAAGAGCGATACCATTGCTACTGATACCTTCGACAGGATAACATCCCAGTACAGTATTTTTAACATACGACATTAGAGGAGCAGAAAATCTACAAAATCATTAGTGTACAACTTAAGCGTAGACTAAATTTTATTTAACAAAAGCAATTTACAATGATTGTAAAATGGCACTTTTAATTGTATTTTATAATTATCACTATCCCATCGAGAGCTATGAAAAATGTGTATTCTCGGCAGTTTACATTCCATTATACTTCAAACAATATTTACTCAATTTCATCAATTTAATCAATTACAATAATTAATCAAGCAATTAATATTTTTACATTTGAAAAAAACTAATAAATAATATTTATAATAATAAAAAACAATTAATTTAACTTTTATTCTGTCGTTATTGAAATTAAATAATATATATTAATAAATCTTCATTAATAATTCATTAAAACTCTATTTGTAATGCTCTTTGGATGGAATTCAAAGCTATCCTTTACCTTTTTTACATTTGTATTTTACTCTATTCAATATAATTAAATAACTATCAACAAGATACGTGTTATGTATCAATTATAGGATATGATAAAGATAATATTACATCATCTGTAATATTTTATAAACGTCGTAATGAGATGAATGGGGTATATAATGATTTTAAATATTAATTATAAATGGCGAGATTATAAGCACACAAAACTTTTTAAAAATAAGCGGCTTACGGGTATTGCTATTCAATTTTTTAGCCTCGAATTGGCAAAAATCAATTATAATGAACGTCGAAAGGTTTGTTTGTAGAGTCATCATGGTGACGGTGAAACTTAATGAAATGCGCGCTATTCTACTGGTGCATTGGATTTAGGTTATACGAGCTCTTTTGGAAAATGAAAGCTCGACAGTTACAAATATTAAAAGCTAACAAATGTGCTCTTACTTTAAAGTGCAATGATTGAAATAAATATAATATTCGAATGAACATTATATATCTCGGTAAAAGGTCGTTTTGTAATCGAAACAAATATAAATATATACAAATTCTTTCATTTTAAAATATCGAGTTTGTTAAAAAATTTTATTGTGAACTAAATGAAAAATATACTTTCTCTAATGTTCGGTATACTACAATTTAATGATTAAAAAGAGATTTTGAAATGATTTTGAAATATAATTTTATTCAATGATTGATCAGATATTTTTAATGGTTTGTTTAAAAAAAATCAATTAACTTAATAAATTTAATGTTTCCGAATTAATATGCAGTACTCTATAAAAAAAAATCACAGTATAAACAAATTGAATAAATATTCAAGAATCATTGAATGAGGTACATTTACTGCTATTAAAATTCTATAATCATTATAAAAAATTAATGCTTTCCATTTGTTATATAGTATGATAATTATTATACTTCGTCATTAATAGTTATACAATGTTAAGCATAATTATTTATTTAAAAAATTGCTTTTATAGCGCTTCATAACGATATTTAAAGGACGTGAAACATTAGTTGATAATAAGAATGCATTAATACAATTATAATAGAGGAAACATGTTATAATAGAAGAATTTACAAATCAAACAAACGCTTCAGAGAAACAATGCGAGATGAATTTGCGAATAATGTGCTCATAGTGAACAGCTTAATTACCTTACAATTATTGCTCTTAAAACAACCAAAAAGATGCTAAAATTTACATAAATAAACGAACATAAATCATTAAAGAATCTAAGACACGCTATCCAATTTTTAAAATCTTTCTGTAAAATACCTGCCATGCTGACAACCAGGTAGAGCAACGCATTTATCGCACAATTCACCGTAGAACCCAAGCTTGCAGCGACATTCTCCCGGTCTCCTGCAATATCCTTGAAGAGGGTCGCATCCTTTCCGACAAATTGGTACGTCGCAAAGGTCTCCGGTCCACCCTAATTTAGACCAATGATTCATTTTAAATAAAGAAAAATGGGTATTTTAACTACATCGTTATATCTATTCTCGGTATTACGTAAATCTATGAATACTAGACAAGGGTATATAAATTTTATTTATTTAGCCGATGTTGCTTTAAATTATTTAAATTTTTTAATAGATGGACGTTTATGTTAATGAAAATCAATTATTTGCCAATATGTAAGTAAATGTAAAGGAAGCAATTAATTAATGGCATATTGGATGTCGACAAAAATTAAACAAATATTTTATGAATTTTATGAAAACAATGAAAGTTATGAAGAATTAATTAGTGCGTAAGTAACAAAAAAAAAAATTCCTATACAAAGTGCGAATAGAATATATGCTCTCTAACACCCAAAAACTTATAATAATAATAATAATAATAATAATAATAATAATAATAATAATAATAATAATAATAATAATAATAATAATAAAAAGTATTTTGTAAGTTATATAATTATAAATGTATTACCTGGTAAGCATTTGACTTCCCCTGCCTCGTCACAAACATAGTGAGAGCTTGGATGTTGCGTTGCTGGTATTTCGCATGCTTGCTTTTTCCACTTTGGAACATATCTTTGATAACGAAATGTAAGCTATTAATATTTTATTTACTTTAAATACTCATGTTTTATAAGAAATGCAATTAAAAGTCCAATATCTAATATATTTATTCTTAGATATATTATTTATCTGAATAATATAAACCGGGGGACGAATTGGTTATATTTGTATTTATATAAAATATAATATTAAAATTATATGTAACATTAACAAAATTAAATATTTGGCAATGAATAAAGCAAAGAAATTAGAATTAAACGAGAGGCGTTTTCAGTATATATGTAAACCAGTTTTGTCTGTCGAAGGACAAGAAACCGTACTCTTTTTTATCTTCTTTTTATTATATTTATTACATCTATATTTATTGTATACTGATAGTTTTTCTTCAATATCAGATCCAATAAATTGCTATGTGTAGTATATAATTACCATTTCAGAAAACTAAATTCGAATATTATTTTCTGCACTTAGCAACACTCCAATATCACATACTCTAGATAATAAAAAGCACTTGATTTAATTAAGTTCTTAATATACTTAAATCGCAAATTTATTTCTCATTATAATCTTTATATAGAGGCCAAATTGTTGAATCATTTATGAAAATATATTTAACAATAGAAATAAAAAAAAAATAACAATCATGGATATTTTTGAGTTTTACAATAAATTTTCTTAAAACGATCTTCTCCATTATAATTAAATTACTTGAGAAAAAAATAAAATAAAATAAATAAATCAATAAATAAAAATTATTATTCCGCATTATAATATTAGAATAATTAAAATGTTTTAATGTATAATTAAAATTTTTCAATGAAAACCAATTACTATTCGTCGTTATATTTTATCTACGATTAATTTAACATTAATTTAATAACATTTTCGACAAAATTATATTGTGCTTAAAATATTTAAAGCCCATTAGTGCATACAAAAACAATTAATATCTTTGAAGAAAATAATAACTGTCGTCTTAAAATGACATAATATTTTACAATATCGTTTATTTAACTGTCAATTTTAATTAAAATCCATTATTTGTTTTGATTCTCAGTCGTATGAACGTAATATTGATGGACCACGTCATACAATAGACATTGTGATTTATCAAAATAATTCATAATTGATCGATCTAATTTCAATAACAGTAGATTAAAAATGTAAATGTTGAGTATCGATTGTAATTTAAATTTAATTATATTGAAATTTACGACTGATAAGTTAATCTTAGAAATACTTCGTTACAAATATTACAAATATTCAATAAATTATACGATTTACGATTCGACTTCTATTTCTTGGTTTATACCTTTAATCGTACTTATTTTCTTATATTTTTATCTTCACGCGTTAACTGTTGATTTTGACATTGATATCAATATTATTGCAATAAGAATATTTGTAAAGCGTCATTTTTGGAGATTTTCAGCGAAATTATGTATATTTTCTCTACCATTGTGTTACATTCTGATAATTTGGATTAATGTTCAGCCTCGAAGTCAATCGATCGAATCAAATTAAATGTGCAGTAGTGATTAATCTGAAATTATCATCGTTATAGAGAATAATACATTATTCAATTGAGTTACAATTTTTCACTATATAATTTTCAAATCTATATAATTTTTAATTTCATATAATCTTTTCTATTCTATTCTGGGATGACCCAGACTATTTAATATAACATGATTCGTGAAAGACTCGATTATTATTATTTTTTCTTGTACACGGCTATTTAACAATTACAATATATAGTTGAAAATTTTGAAATATCTTTTTCTTTAACAATATTTCTTATTTTATTTTAAACTATCAACTTCACTGCATTGTCGAATTTTAATGGAAATTTTATAAAATTACTTGATCATATTAATGCAATTTTTTATGCTATAAATCATGCATAAATATATATTACGAAGCTTTCAAACTTCGTTCACTATTTATAATTTATAATTGCATTTTCAAATAATAAGTCAGAAAAAAGTATTCAATTTTCAATTTTTAGTACACGATGAATGTAAGCACCGCTTTGGAAATGATTAATTTTCGGTAGTTTTACTTGGCACAGTAATATATGGGCATATGGATTTATACATTGGCAGCTTGAAATGCAACTGGAAAAATGGAAATTATCAAAATAGCACGAAAAAGCTTTTCTTATAATTTCTCAAAATGCACACTAAAATTTGGATATATTTAATTGACAAGTTAATTGATAAGTATAAATGTTAGCAACTCGTAATTATTAGTAAATCGAGCGTTAAGGATTAATAAATGAATAGCGAATGAGTTGGTCATGTAACATCGCGTTTAAAAGCATTTGTCAATGCATCAGCGCATAGGTATGAGTTTTTTTTTGGAAAAACAACAAAAAAGAAAGAAAAAAAGAGAAAAGTGCTGGTGAAAGCTTGGAAAGCCGAAGGACGGATGAAAAAATGTTAAAGGCAGGAGAAAAAGAGACAGTAGCCCATGGATTTGCATTGTCTTTGCTCCGAGTTTGCCTTCCGAGTTCTCTCGTGCTTTTATCAAATGGTATGATTTACAGGAGCCGAGACCTTTCCTCGCTGTCACTTTTATGGAAGGCTTGCCCGAGTCTCCTTCCACCGGAGTGCCGGAGTGCTACATCCATTGAGCGGATAGCAGCACTCGGACGTGGCTTAAGGAGTCCAGGGACTTCGGGACACTGACCTGGGTCCGATGGATAATCCGAGGGGTAGTTGTAGGAGGACGAGAGCCGCGCTCGGCTTTAGCTGCCAGGATGCCGTGCGCAACTGCGCGGGACCCAGGCAGACGGCGAGGAGAAGCGCAATCATGTCGACTCCGTATCTTCCTAGTTGGGACGAGACTGCGCGTACTCGTCGTCGGCCACGGCCACGACGATGCGGGATAACGGGATCCGGCCCCGACCGACACTGCCTTTTTCGAGGTCACGGCACACTTTTGCGAGCGTGTTAAAGCCATGCCAACTACTGATACAGACAGACAGACAGACAGACAGACAGACAGACAGACTGACTGACTGACTAACTGATTGAAAGAAGGAGTGATAGAGAGAGAGAGAGAGAGAGAGAGAGAGATAGTGGAGCTGGTGCCTCGGGCATGTGTTGCGTGCGGCGTACGGCGTGCGACGTGCGGCGTGCGTGCATAAACGTATTGTATGTCGCGATTACGTACGTGTCAGTTCGTATCACTCGCTCTTTGCTCGCCTGTACCGAGCGTCGTCCACTGTAAGTTCAATGCACCGGCAATGCGCAACGAGTCTACTAGGAGGATTCGCCGTAAGCGCGGGCTGGCGGACGGGAGGAGGGGCACAAGGTGTAAGCGGAGCGTTAGCTTAAAAAGTAAGAGAAGCGGAGAATAAAAGGGAGATAAAAATAAAGACGCTGAAAGAATAGCACGAAAACGCATTTGGCGGATGGGGCTGGGGATGGTGATTGGGGTTGAGCGTTGGTTGGCTGACGGGGGGTAGGTGAGCGGGAAGGGAAGAAATATGTACGAGCAAAAGGAGCTAAGCCAGGAGATAGAGAAAAACCACGGAAGAAGAGATACGGAGTGACAAAAAAGGTGAGAGAAAGGAGGAGAAGGTCGAGAGGTAGAAAGAAGTTGAGGAGAAAGAGGGACAGATACTTGGCAATGTGAAAGCGTTCACTTTTAAAGGTGCAAATCGAGTAGTCGGTAAAGTTATTTATCCGCAATTAATGCTATCACTTATTAACGAAAACTACTTATATTAAAGGCACATTTTATTGTTTTTAATTGGCGACGTTAAGAAAGTACTTTAAAGAAAAAGTTAATCGAAATTTCTAACTCTGACGTTTACGACCGTGGATTTTGATGCGCTTTCAGTTTTTACTCCAATCTAAATCTACTTATCGACTCTATAAATCTCTCGAGCTTTAGTCTTATGAAAGAAATTATAATATAAAAAATTATTTTGTGCATCTACCAATTGACGCAAAAGAAAAGAAGAAGAAAAAAGAAGAAAAACTAAGAAAAAAAAGGGGGAAAAAAAGAAAAATAGAAAACGGGAAAATAATTAAAAAATAATATTTTTAATGCTTAAACTGTGGACTTTTTTTTCTGATATTAATACGGACGAAACGCGGTACTCGCCATCAACTACTATGCTACAACTTGATAGGCTAATGTAAATTTTCAGTTACATATGTATCCATAAAATATTTGTAGGATTAGCGACAGTCGTAAGTTTGTAAGTATTTATCTTAGAGATAATCCTTTATTTCAATAAGCATAATGAAAGTAAAAAACATCAGCTCCAGACTATTGCTACTACAAGTGAAAATGTCGATGGATTGTAAATTTATAAATGATTTCAAACAAAGTGGTTAAGAAGATCAATATTTCCTAGACTATCCCACTGCCATCGTCAGAATAGAGTTTTAAATTAAGTTAAATTTCTTCTTCCAATCGAGAAACAGTTAATAATGAATAATAGAAATTATATAGAATACACACAAATTTTAAGTATTTGACTTTCATTATTATGAATAACATTTAAGAAGAGAATCTATTGTTTTTTTTTCTATCGTTTGTGAAAATGCGATGAATTCATATCTTCTAGATATAAGACATTTTTTTTATACTATTAGTCATGCTAGCTAATGCTTGATTATTGATTATTGAATAATTTTACGCGTTATCTTGACGAAATAAATCCTTAGCTAAAATAACAATAACAATTTCTAATCATTTATTTTTATTTTCTTCTTATAAACTTAAATAACACTTTGAACACATTTGTAAAGTGAAAAAGTATATAACCTATCAACGAGTTAAAATATCAATTGATATGTCTGATATTAACTATTATTAATGCTAACATAAATTAAACTAACCATTATAGATTTGCTGCTGCTTTAAGCCATTTTCTCATTAAATTATCTCATAGGGTTTTATTACCCATACGACTTAAATATCAAATGTAAATGTAAGTAAATTATACTATTAGAAATAATCTTAATAAATGCGTTACCTGCAATATTCTTTTAATGAACAAGCACCAATAAATTCTCTAACTGTTATAATTGTAAGATTATATCTTAGCTTTTTTTTTCCATTATTGGAGTAGCATTGATAGATAATCTAGAGTACTTGAAAATTATTTTAAGATCGATATCACTATTCAAATATTTTAACGATGTTTCTAACAAACGGGATCTCAGATTCACAATGGGATCCGTAACTGCATTTCGAAAGTTCACGGAAGTACGTGAATATTACGAGGTTGATTTATTTCACTGATACTTGTCATTCGTTTAAAACTCTTTGCCGCGCTCTGATTTTAGCCGCTAAAGATTTTATGCGCTTTTTATGCCCTTACAAGTGATTTAAAAAAATAAATAAATAAATAAAAAATGCAGATTCTTCGACACAGCGCTCGACTCGACATTGCAAATTGATAAAATTGGCATTTTTATCAATGGTATTACCCGCGACGACAATCGCTTCGTTCGCAATCCTAATCCATTTGCAGATAAATGCAGATAGGCTAGCCCTTTGGCAATTAACCTACCTATAAATTACGCACAGAAATCAATTTGAAATCAGCGTTCCTTTGTACAAGAGTGCCGATAGATTAAATAATACGTTGGCCTTATTATAATCGTATGCATATCATCTCTAGTGGCGCAAAGATCTGGTATTACTTACAGCTAACGATCCTCCCCACAAACATAGAGTGCTCGTAGCTAGTGTAAAGCTTATAACGAGCGGCTTACGCTAATAATTCGCAACCGATGTCACCGACAAGTCCCGTACTAAGCAAAGTAACATAAACGCTTACACGTCATTTCCGGGTAAACTAGGAAACGTAACGCCGAACGACTTAGCAGGATCGATTCTTCGACTCTAAGACCTTAGGCATCTTTCATACTCATCGATTTTCCACTGTTAACTCGGTGCATTACGCCATGTATACATAAGTAGTTAACGAGCATTGACTTGGAGGCCAGCATGAAAAATACGATGATGCGCATGAAGAGTGACGTTAATGCTGGCGGACAATTACTTGCCGGGCACTTCTGATTGTCCCAGATGAAACGTCCATTAGCCGCCGCCGCCGCCACCCCACACCACCCCACCCCACCCCCCCTGGTACGAGCGAGCGAGCGAGATCCCGAAGGAGTTAGAGGCTTAGGCTGCTATTGTCGAAGCTCCGTATGAGAATAATACGTAGTTAGACTGTGGTACGCCAATCAGCATTTAGAAATTAAATGTCTGCTATTACTTTCAAATAAAGACCTTTGCAAACAACCAAACCTTATGTAATTTTATACGAGACTCTAATGCGCTTACGAAAGCTGCCCTAATAACGCGAACCGATAACGTCGTCGAGTCATAAGTAAACATTAGGCATTCTGTCTATTCAACATTCTGCTCCTAGGCCTTTACATAAAAATCTATCAAACTAACTCTATCAAACTTAAGAATCTAATTAATTTACAAGTTCAGATGTATATACATACATATATATATATATATATATATATATATATATATATATATATAGAGAGAGAGAGAGAGAGAGAGAGCTAGAGATCTTTCGAATACCATGCTCGAGCGTGTCGCTCAACCTTTCAGAAGGATCACGGATTAGTGAGCCATCAATAATCCAAGTGATTGGATAGATTTTTGTTTGCCGCGAGTGGCGCTCGAAGACCATATGAATGGTATCTTCGAGTCCTTATCGCATAGACGGTTTCTCAAGAGCTGGAAGGCACGCGGGAGCCTCTCAGCATATTTTTTCAAAGACCTCAAAAAATTATTCTCATAAATTTATTTTGTGAGATGAAAAACTCAAGATAATTCTGCCTTACAAGATGGTTATTGTGAATAAAATATTATAATGTAATGTATATAGGAATGGGACTTGGTAAGATTTTCTTGGAAGATACAGAAATTGTAAATATTAATACATCTATTCCATTAAATTAGTCCTTCCACTAAATTACTTCCTAATAATCAATTTCTATTCAAGCCTTAAGTGAGAGTATCGGGCAATTAAAAAGAAAACCAAAACAATATATATATATATATATATATATCGATTAATAATATTTTCTACGCTAGATCACTAACAAACGTCGAATGTTTATTAAAAAAATGCACAAACACGGTGAATCGAGTAAAAAGTAGACGTTACAAATTTCTCCAAAACAACTTTTGTTCTCGACATTTTTAAAAATTAAATTTACAAATTAAGAAGGTCAGGCTGGCTTAACATTTTACGAATGAAATTTTATTGATTATTATTGTATAAACCTTACATTTTACACATTGGCGACCACAAAACACACAAAATATTAGTCTTTAAAATGAAAACAGGTTAGAAAGCATCTCGACCACTCGATCAAATATCTCGCGAGACGAGTATTCAAAATTCGCAAAAAGGAAGATTTGAAATTCCTCGTAGGTACGAGATCATAAGTGCTTTAGAAGAATGAGTGGTACTTTTGTCTCCATTTCATATATTAACATGAATGGGATCGAATATACATTTTTCTTTTTTTTAAATTTATTTCTTTCTTTTATTTATTTCTTATTTCTATAGTTTTTAATTAAATTGGAATAATGATCTTTCATTGTTTACTTAACTATTAATCAACTTTAAACATTATTAAGAATACAGATGCAGTAGAACAAAATGTCTATTATTAAAAATTATTTTTAAATTAAATATTTTTATATGCATCCTTATAATTTTATTGTAATTTTATTTAAAATTGTTTATTATTATTATTTTTTTTTTGTCTTTGTTTGTAACATTATCATTATTAAACTGTAAATATATAAAATTAAACGAGGATACGTCTTACAATGACGCATTATAATAAATAACAAAATATTTCTACCAAAAGAACCAGAATAAAAAAAACATTTTTAAACTTTATGTAAGAGTGCAAGAGTTTATGTGGCGACGATTTAGGAGAAAATGGCGTGAAACGTCTACTAGATAAGACATTTAAATAAAATGCGATAGAATGGAGATTTATGATAAAGAAGACGACAATGTTCTTAATATAGCTAGTTTGCGAAGATTAAGATGTAAATAAATGTATTAATTTTTATTATTTTCATAGCGCTATACTTTGCTCTTTATTTATGCCAATTATTTATTAATAAGCATAAATGTAAATGAGACCATAAAGGTAAGATATGATATATTGTATAATAGTGGAATACGAGGTGGTTTGATTTTAATTTAACATGATATATTTCGTATAATATTAGGAAGAAATAATGAAGTGTATGTGAAATCTATAGAAAATAGCGGATATTCTATAAAATTTATTATCTTTCAATGCTATAGCATAAACTAGATAATAGTCGTAATCTTACAACTTTAAACTAAAATAGAATTTCTTCATATATGTGTCATTGTGCACGCGGAGCATTATAGAAAAAAGAATAACTAGAGAATTTTTCTTTTTTGTTTTATAGTATCCATTGTAAGGGGTCCGAGCCTCCTCCCTCGCTCTACATACAATATAGCGAATATTTGTGCATTAAAAAACGCGAAATTGCTTATAAAGCATTCAGCTGATCAACCGACAGCTTCTCCTCGTAATTCGCGCGCGTATCTCTCATAAATTATTATACAATTTTATATTGTGTATATATAGACGTGAGTGCGTGCGTGTGTATTGTGTCGGGCCTACGAATCCAATGGCACAACACTGAGTGGTCGGTCTCGAGTCCCTGTGGATCGTTGACGGGGAAAGGAACGAAGATTAATGCCTCGGTGAGCTGGCCCGTGTCCGTGAAAATCAGGGAAAAGTACAAGTTGTCGAAGGGGTGCGCGAGACTAATTACCTGCGGGGTGTCTAATGATTTTTTCGGGGCGACCGCCAAGAGAGTCGAGCCGCTCGCCGGACGTGAGGCATTACGTCTTGCCGGATTTCACGTAAGTTCCAGGGCTCAATTCCCGACGCATTAGTACGTGCTAATGCACCGGGTTCCCATGGCGAGCGTGTCCTTTTCTTTTTCGGGCTTTTTTTTCGTCTCGCTCGCTCTTGCCGCTGCTCTTGAAAACTTAATTTCTTTTTCTGAATAGGACCGACGTCGTTTTTGTTGAGCCCAATTGTTCGGGGGCGCTCTTTATTCGTATTTTTACGAGGTCTTTGACTACGTGATCAACAGCCAAATATTAAGTAGGTTATCGTAATTACTGCGGGACTAATTCACCATTGAATGATTAGTCGACTCCTTTCGTGCCGAGACCTGTGCAGTATTCATTTTCACCTCCCCCCCCTCTCTCTCTCTCTCTCTCTCTCTCTCTCTCTCTCGCGAACGTACGGCGGACAATAACCAATGAAATTAATTACGTTAAGTAGCTAGAGTAGCCCGCAGAGGATAAAATTATGGTAATTTTTTTGCTTTTTTTTTTAAAAAGAACTCGTTTTAATCAATGCGTTATGCACATACATTAATGGCCAATTCCAACAAGAAGCACTTATTAAAATAAATCCATTAAAACAAAAGCAACGCGTCAATTTCGTTAAATCTTTATTGATGATATGTGTAATTATTTGGTGTAATAAATAAATATTAAGTGGCCGAGTTAAATTGATCAAAAGCTAAAGAGTGCTTTATTGATCTCATAGGATTTACAATTTGTGTGTGTGTGTGTGCGCGCGCGCGCGTGTGTGTGGACCAAGGTGAAGCGAATAGAATAGACAATCGAAACTATATAATTCACATATAGGTTTTATTAAATTGTCTAGTAATATTTACAGGGTTCGATATTATTTACAAATAAATACAATCGTTTTGGGCGCGCGACATAATCAAGTCTCATGCGCTCCTCCTTACCAATAGGAACTCTCGTACAGTCTGTTCGTTGCAGCTTGAGCAAGTCGCACGGTCAATAATAGTAATTACAAAAATATTATACAAATTGTATGAATTACAAAACTAATTGTGTCTTATGTGTGCGCGTATGCAATAAATGATTTCAGAATGTTCACTCGAGTGTTCGTGTTAAAATTAATATTTGTGTCGAGGTTGATGAGCGAAGAGGATCTTGTGTAAAAGTTGCGTGTAAAGTGAATGGAGCATCATTGTGTCGTGTCCTTTTCTTTTTAAGATTATGGCATTTTGGTGAAACTGTAACACGTATCCCTCCATACATCGCTTATACAGATAAAAATATAACTTTTTACAATGACATATAGATACAAAGTCTGGCGCCGACGGTTTAAAATACAATTGATTATTCTAAGCGGTATTATAATTATTACAGATACAATAAAAGAGTGAATTCCTAAGATGTTTAGGAATAATAATCGCCGATGTAAGCAATAAAACTGGCCCTTGATGATCATATGGGTAGTAATCGTATCAGCATCCATCCCCGAGTTTCCTCGTTCTGTCAGAGCACCATACAATCTTAAATTTAAAACTACGTAATCTCTTAGAGCTCCGAATAGGTGTATTCGTTGGCGTAGGCTCGCACTGTGTTGGAACCCGAGCCATGGATAACTCGATTACGAACTCGTAATCGATAACGTCGATTGGCATTTGATCGCCCAATCGGTCAGCCTCCAATAAATCCCAAGTCGGAAGAAACTCCGTTTACTCTATGCTTCTCTTCTATCCTCCTCTCCCATGACGATCATCATACCTCTTCCTCGGGCTCGACCTCCTTGCCCTTCCTCAAAAGCTTGACAATGATAATGATGCATACGATGATGGCCGCGCACATGCTGGCAGCAAGGAAGGCCCAGGGGTAAATGTTTTCGAAGTTTTTTTTAATCCTGTGTACCTGAATGGAGCTCGGCCTTGTATCGACTTCAATGGGGAAACTTCCCGGTCCCTCGTTCGAGGCAATTCTTACTAAATACTTAGTTCCGGGCAGAAGACTGATTTGCGCGAAATCCGAATCGGCTACCTGATTGCCCATGAGACCGCCGGTTTCGGGTTCCCAAGATACCACGAAGGACTCTTTGGCCACTTGGGTTTGCTTCCTCTCGTCCTCGCTGTCAACGGTGGACGGCTCCGAGTTCTCATCAATCTGGTGGCTCTCGTGATCCTTCCTACGGAAGAAGAACCTTCGGAACACCTCCTCCGGTATCGCCTGATCCTCGTCCTGGTTTCGCCATTCGAGCACCTTCTCACCGTACTTTTCGAGGAAGAACTGGCGCACTCTGTCGTTGAATCTCTTTTGCTCCAGCACCTGCTGGTGCTTCAATTGGCTATCAACGTCGCGCCATGATATAGTCGCCTCGAATAGCGGGCCTTCCTTCAGCGAGTCCAAGGTCGGCATCCATTCCTCCCAGCTGTAGTGGGTTACCCCGCCGTCCTCCACGACCGCCACTATCCACTCGTCTTGGCGTAGGGAGCTCGGCGTCCGTATTCCCGGATAGTAATCGAAGACCTTCCATTCCTGGCGAATCTTACGCATGAGAATGGCAACGTCGTTCTTGGTAAGGGAGACCGGGGCCCGATGAGGCGCCGGCAGCATCGACGGCAGGTACTGCTCGACCACCTGACCCTTCCGGTACTCGCAGGCCGTCTTGCACGATGGGCACTGTTGACAGACAAAGGGGATTTTTCACGTTAGTTAAGTGCTCGTACACTCGAGTCCCGCCAACTGCCCTACGTAGTGAGAACTTTATGAGTTGCGGGAATTTTCAAGTGCTTAGGAAGTCGACGACGAGTATTCTCGCCGGGCGCTCATAAACTGCCTGGTCAGTCGCATTAACGAGCAAGGACGACACACGGCGGCGACTCTCGCTGAATAGAGATGCGAGTGCCGTGGACATTGTTACATAACTTCAGACGCTCGGATAAGCTCGGATAAGCTCGGATAAGCACTTTCGCGCGAGCGAGCTTATTCGAACATAGCGACTGCGCGGTCTTCGTCAATACGATAAGCGAGTTGTCGTCGTCGTTGTCGTCCTTTTATTTTACGACGCGATTAAGACGCGGAAAGTTAAATTATTTTGACGAAATAATAAGGGCTTTTTAAAATGTTATCGGCTACGCGCAGGGGTCAATTCATAGCCCATAACGGAGAAAATAATTGGCGCTAAAGTACGTCTAATAAACTTTTAATCCCAAGTTAAAGATATCACTACATAAATTGAGTAATTCCATTGAGTCCGCCGAGCGGCGCGATTAGCGGTGTGAGAAAACGAATACTCGAGAGCGCCGGCACGTATAAAAGGAATGCTTATTGAGGATTTCGATCCAAGGCGGCGGCTGAATAAGTTATTTAGGCCGTAAATAAATAATTAGCGCCGACGCTATCCGGATACGCGAGAAAGAAACAGCGATTACTAAACGGCATTGCCCGATCGTTCACGAAAAGCTCTTTATATACCGTAAGCGGCGTTGGTCGTTTAGATATATGCGATCGGTGATAGGACGTGCGCGCTTGTATTATAGCCTCCGCCGAATAATTTTAGTGTCCCATTCACGACATAGAGTATTCCTTTAAGGTGCAGCCCCCGGCTAATTAACGAGCCTCAAAAACTCGAAAATTCCAACTCGGTATTTGGGGTGGAGGGAGGGGGGGGGGTCCGACGATGGCGGGGGCGCGCCACCGGGGGGGGGGGGTCCGACGATGGCGGCGGCGCACCACCACAGCCAAACAAGTGGGTGTACTACGCCCGCGTGAGCTTATCTTGGCGTAGAGAGGACGAGCGTGTTTTGCTCGTAATTTTTACGGTGTACGGTGTGTATAAGCCGTAAGATAAGATTTACGTCCTTAAGGTGGCTGACACAACAGCGAGCAACGCGTGTTGCATCTTCTTTCTCTTTTCATAAATCGTTGGTCCGCTTTTACGTTTACTTCTCATCGCGTCTAGCGTGTCGTGCGCATGTGCACGTGTACGTGCGTGCGTGCGTGCGTGCGTGTGTGTATGCGCTAGCGGCTCGCGAGCGAGCGAGCGAGCGAACGAACGAACGAACGAACGAACGAACGCGCTCCTAAATATTTGAGGAGCGAGATCTTTATCGCGCGGCTGCTGTAGTAGGAGAAGAAGAGAGGAGAGTAACGAAACGGGGAACAACGATGACTCTCTTTTCTTCGTAGCTCGCCGAGTTGGGTGCGGGTGAATAAGGAGCCGAGATGCCGGGGGCACTTCTCTTCTGCTTTTTCTTCTTCATCTACTTCTGCTTCGCCTGCTTCTTATTCTTCTTCTGCTTCTCTTCCTTCTTCTTCTTCTTCTTCTTCTTCTTCGTCTTCCCCCTTTTTATTCTCTTTATTTTTATTTCGTTTGTTTGTTTGTTCATCTGAAAAGGCGAGGGCACAGCGATATACGTGTATCTTCGGACTTTCGACGTGTATGTGGCATGAGTGCGAGGAAGGGATGGGGGTGTACTCGAGCGTCGGACGTGCATTGTTAAAACGGAGACTTTGTTGCGGGGGTTTCAGGAAAGACATAAACGAATTCGCGTATACTGATTTACGATGTAAAGTATCGATTAGCGTAATAGTGAGAGCGGAAGATGATACTACTGGTGTTTTACAAATCTAGCGATCCGAAGGCGATAGAGCTAATTGATGGCGCTCCCTTGGCTACATAAATGAACAATGACTTTATTTTCAAAAATTAAGTAGCTCGAGGAGTAGTTAGTGATTGTTGTCTACATTCGAATGGTCGAACTTCTTAATTCACGGGTAATTTGGATTTAAACGATAATAATCGAATTCACGGCATCGCTAAGCCATTGTGTAATAAATTATCCGTCTAGACAGTAATAAAGATTATTCTATGTCTGAGGATAGTTACGTAGATCATAGTGCGCACGTACGTAATTTTCTCGGATGCAATGTGCCCATAATTAAGCTAAGAAAGAGCACGTTTTAACGAAATTTTTCGGCAATAAATTTCAAGAGCCGTCACTTTGCATTGTATGGCCATTGAGGGAGAAAAAGATCGAGCCACCAGTGCGTTCGAGGAAATATCTCGAGCAGCGGCAAAGAAGATCAATATCGAACAAACGTACGAAAAATAATCGAGCGACCCTAACACGGCCGGGAAAGTGAGACTCGTGAGGGCTCTTCTTCCCAAAATCCTCTCTCGCTCTCGCTCGGTCCAACTTTTCTTTCTTTGAAAGCGTTCCTAAGCAGCCGCGGACTTCTGTTCATCTTTCCATGAAAATCGGCAGGTAGTCGTTGCCGCCACCGCCGCCGCCACTGCCATCGCCTCCGCTGCCTCCGCTGCCTCCGCTGCCACCGACGCCACCGACGCCATCGTCCTCGCTTTCCCTCGGTGAGCGAGCGAATCGCTCGTGTTGTTGTTGCATCGTGGGGCGCGTTCCTACAAGATGGATAGGCCAAGTCGAAGCGCGCCTCTTCTTCTCCAGCTTTTTCTCCGTCCCTTTCGGCGCCCTTCCTTTTATGAAACCGTCGTGGGATCCCAACCAGAGAGACGCGAACCAGGAATTTTCTCGCGGTCCAGCGATTTTTCAAGCGGTGCACGGACAAACGTATCCAACATTATCCTATGCCCTAGTCTCGCGACCGAATATCTCAGAATCGGGGAAATCGAGAGGACGAGCGTATCGCGCCTTCACGGGATAATCGATCGACGTTGCTTCCATTTTCCGCTGTATGCATTTTAATTTAGTCCGGGTCAACTTGATGGATGGATGATGGTATGGCGGCTATAGCTTTGTTTTCTTACGCTCGAAAACTGGAGCTGCCCGGATAAGATCGTTTTTAATACCGAGGAGCGCGAGTAATTGTAGCGATCTCACATGGATGATTTATTTACGAGTGTTCAACAGCACGAAACTAGTCCAACGTAAATAAATCATTATTTGTTCAAGTGCAAAACTTGTTGCGTTCTGTCGAATCCAGTGTGGCTCGATTTCGATTTAATCCGGCACTCGGTCGACAACTATGTGATGTGAGCCGTTTTAGGATGAGAACGGTAGGTTATCTTCGTCAATCCTCAGCGGAGTAACGAATTCTCCCCGCGTTACTCTTATTGCATTCAACTTCCTCGAAAATATTCATTTTCTTTATTAGGAAAAGTGAGTAGTTGAATGCTGATGCCCGTTGAGCGTCCAGTCTACTTTTTATTTTCTATCATAATGAAAGGTCTGAATAAAAGGACCGAGATAACCATTGAAATGAAAATATTGTTTAAAATCATTTAAAAGCCATTACTTCAAAACCATTTCATTCAATAAAATGCTATTCTTACAAATTTACTAATTAATTACTTAATATCCAAGTAATGTAATATAAAAGCATTAGCCATCTAATTAAATAGATGCATAATAATAATAAAAAAAAAAAAAAAAAAAAAAAAAAAAAAAAAAAAAAAAAAAAGGAAACTGGAGGGTAAATATTGAAAAAAAATTCTTTCACTATAATACCGCAATATAGCATGGTTATTCGATAAATAAGAGAAAAAGTAAAAGAAAAGAAAACATGATAATTATAAGTGCAATGGCAGAGAGATTCGAAAATGCCTACAGTACTAAACATAAAATATGGAGTATAAGAAGGAATAATTAATTTGACACTACATTGTACAGCTAACAAATTTCTCGATAAATCGACAAGAAATTGACTAGTAGTTTTAAACATTTTAAACAACTTCTCATTAATATCATGTCTACGTGGCGGTTACGTGCTGTGGAGAGAAGAAAAAAAATATTTATTGCCCGAAAAGAGTTAGTTGTTACAC